TAGTCTTGTATATATAAACCGGTAAGAACTGACGGCAACAAGGTAATGAGTAATTGACAGTTAAGTCGAGCACGTGAGACGTTCGTTGTGAATTATAGCGTTTGTTATAGCGTGACTGTGAAAATTAAATGTATTGCAAAATTGTATTCAGAAAGAATAAACTAGTTTTATTTAAGAAAGGGCTTGTATCGCTAAAGTTTCTTCGGAAATAATTTTTACGGAAAATTAGCTAACGACCAGAGACGTAACAGTATCAACGATAGAGAACAATAGGTAGCTAAAGCGATAGCAACTCAGTGACTCTCTTGACCAAGTTGTTTAATTTTCTGTTAAAAGAGATAGCTAGAACGTAGTTCGTCTGTAAACGCTGGTGATTGGTAAAAGCTATTAGAAATTGTATATTTCCCGCTATTTTTGTGTCACATCTATTTGATTGATTATGTATTTCTTATTAGATAAGACACTTTCTTTTTCGTAACTTTTCCATTAATTAAGATATTTAATGTTGCTTAGATAAGGCAATTTTTCTTAGTGTGACATTCCGTTTATAGAATATTATCATAAAGGCAAACAGTTATTTCAAGCTGCTGTAACATTGATTTTTCATTTTCAAGAATATTATTTCTGTCTACTTTTGTGACAAATCTGTAACCGAAATATGTTTGATTATTTTAGTTGAAAATTACACTGTGTCTGCCACAGGGATCGAAACTAGAATTTCAGCGTTATAATGCTTTAAGGTTTATCTCTGAGCCACTGGGGAACCCTAAAAATACGTAACACTTTAAATAAAAAACAAAGTATGTGTATGATAAAGCCATTAAACGCTTTCAAATATATAAAGTACACAAAATCACTTTATCTTTGTTAACTGAATTCAATAATTGTTGATGTGTTTGTTCTTTTTAACCAATTAAAAAAACGTTGTTTTTTGTAATGTGTCTGAGACTTATTTTTAAGCAATTAATCTTTTTTAATATAGAATGATAAAAACAACTGCTCAGGACTTATTCTATAACGTTCCCTTATTGTAAGTTATATTTATCTTCGAACATAACTAGGTTAGAGCCGGTTGGTCGAAATATTCTTCCTCCATCTTTATATTACTAACAGTAACAGCCTGAAAACTAAGTTGTTGATTCTTAAAAGATAGTCCTTCGGTTAAACCCAGGTAAGAATTAAAAAGTAGGTCGAAATTAAACACTTATATAACAGCTTAATTTTTGTGCCATTTAAGTACAAAATTACATTATTATTCCAGATTGTTCTGTTGTGCTAAAATTATTAAAAATAAGTAAAATGAGTATGTGCTGAAACACTTAAGGCTAAAGTCTAAACAGTAAACTGCTGAAGTAAAGAAGACATACAAAAGTTCTGTCGAAACGTGTAGTATGTTCTTCTAGTTGTACCATTAATAAAACTTCCTTAGTTATGCTTATGAATCGTTGTTTGCATAATTATTATTGTGTGCTGAAACGTGAATAACACTAGTAGTAATAATAATAAATAATGTGAATGTAAGTTGTAATTCGAAACTCTGTAACTTAAGTGTAACTTGTAACTACAATTGTAAAATCTAAGTTACTTGCTGTGGATTGACGTTGGGAAAATGAAGTCCAATAGTAATAATAGAGATGAAGATAAGATGACAAACATTTTTATTTCCATAAACTTTGAACATTTCGAAATACACTTGCTCCATTTGTAGGGAAATCTGAGAATAAATATATTTACTAACTAACATGATAAAATCATAAATAACTCATTTACTTGAAATATTCAGTTAAGACTAGTACCAGTAGTACTTTAAAGTTTAATGTGAAAGACTGATTTTTAAATTTCGGTGGAGGCTTGTGTTGTCCCTGTGTGTGACCTTACTGTTAATGATATAAACATAAATGGAGAGACTAGAACTATGTATATTACTATTATTACTGATGTAGAACTTGAAAATATCAGTTTTTTTATTGAGGAAGAGATATTTTTTTAATCAATAAGCTTTGTGAACTCATAAAAGGAAGTTGGATCAGGAGGGAAAATTTGGGGAGAGTGTGTAAAGTAGTTCTAGACTGGAATTTGTTGTTTAGAAGTTTGTAAGTTAATTTCATTAAAAAGTCAGGTGTATTACCATTGTTTAACAGATTTTGTGTAGAGGTGTATCTTCGTAGTGTAAAATTTTGTTGAAAAGAGTTATGATTAAGTTTTGTTTGAAACGGTTGGGTATAAAGTTGTTAAAATGTGTGTAAATGTCTATAAAAGTATTTTTTATACAATTAACAGAGATAGCAAGTCTTTTTACCTTTAGTAATCGTGATGTTAAGGAAAGGTAAGGATCCATTTTCTTTGACTTTGTATATAAATTGGTATGTTGTGAGTAGAAAAGAGAGTAAGAAAGGTCATCAATATAGCATTTGTACATAAGTTTAAATTTAGATGAGCATTTTTCTAACCAGTTGTATCCATGGTATCGTAAAATCTATTACTTAAACCCAGCCACTCTATTCATTTACATGTAGGAATCACAACATTTTATATAATGATTTGTTTTACATATTAACTACAGAATCTTCAGTACCTTGAACTTTATATTAAAGAAAGCTTGCTCATAGGAAAAGATTGCCTGTCTCTTGTGCATCATGAGGCAATCTTATATACATTGGAAACTGTGGGATCTGTTTGAGCATTTGTCTGTCTCCCGTTTACGGTGGTGGCCACTTTCTGTGCTACATTTGAAAAGCTGCATGTGCAGGCAAAGTTCAACATTCACTTTTGAAATGATGGGAGAACAGACACAAATAATGTTTATGCCAGATTTTATTTTGCAAGCTGGATATTCTACACTAAATTGTTAGGAATTAATCACACTATCATTCACATTTCAAAATGTGACGTAACTTAAAGAATAAAAATGTAAATTTACCATATGTTATTGTTGAGCAGCTCTTAGTATGACTGAAATGCTCAACAATTACTTTTCGCAGTGGGCGGTATACGTAGCTCAGAGCTTTGGCTCCAATTGAAACCAAGAATGCAACACAATTAACCTTTTTAAAGTCCATGAAATAATTTAAATTGATAGATTAACTTAAGCTTTTACTGTCACAGGGGGTGGGTACTTTTGCTTGAAACTTATAGTCTGCATTATCCAGGTTATATGAATATTTTCTATTTCTGGTTTAAATTGTATGTTGTATTTAATAAAATGTATTAAATCCTTTTGAGAAGCTTCACTTAACAGGTATAGTTTATACTTATAACTTGGTTCTCATGTAACTTGAAATTTTGTTATTTCCATTACATATTCTTTAATACAGTGTTTCCCAAAGTGTGGTCTGCGGCCCGGTACAGGTCCATGAAAAAAAAATGCTGGCTTATAGAAAACTAAAAAAATTAAATTAATTTTAACCCTTTCACTACCAACCATCATTTCTAAACTTTCTCCAAGCCCTTGTTGTATATTAAAGAAAAATTTAATTAAACAAGTTAATATAAATATATTCTAATAAAATTAATATTTTCAAATACATTATAATTTAAATATTCATTTCATCTAACTTGGATTTCTCAGTATTTCAACTAAGCTAATATAACAGAAAGGAAAAGTGAAGTTTGTACTCAAGGCCAAGAAACAATAGAATTCACAAGTTGACAGCTGCCATTATTCCTTCAGTCCTTCAGGAATTAAGGTGTTCTCACTTAGTGCAATTTAGAGAGCCTAAGATTAAGTTTTATGGTGTTGATAACTTTGAGATTCTTGTGAAATGTTGTAAATTTAAACTACATGTTAGCTAGACACGTCCCCCTGCTGAGTCCAATCTGATCTTACCCTGTCTGCAGTTAAGATGAAAGAAGGGATAAAAGGACCATTTGTTCATTCAAGTTAACCAGTTCTTTAACACCAACGTTTTAGGAATTTTATTTCAAATGTGTTAAATTTGCTTACTCTGTTAATGGAAATTAACAGGCATGTGAGACCTGAGTCTTATGTCTGGTAGCGCCAGGTGGCAGCAGACAAGTTGATGATGGCCAGTGCTAGAAGCATCAGTTTGTTCTGAGAAGAGAGAGAATTGTTTGTGACTTAGTTTGTACTAACTAAAAATTGTTTAATTTGTTCATTTTTAAGAAAACCCTTCTCCAATATGGATAGATGGCTGAAGAAACATGCATCACACAAGAAAACCTTCAAGTGATGTGCAAATGCAGCCTAGTTCCAGTGAAACTGAAATCAGTGAAAATAATAGGTCTAATTATAAGCATTTGAGTAATGTGCAGCTTGGTGTGAAAGAAAAGAAAGACCTCTTGGACTCGACAGTATTGTGATGAATATTTGAAGTATGGTTTTATATGTGGTGGTAGCAATAATGACTTGCCACTGTGTGTTCTTTGTTGTTCAACATTATCAAATGAAAGCATGAAACCTTCAAAACTGAAATGCCACTTGGATACCAGACATCAAGAATACTCATAACTAAGAAAATTAAATAGTTTTTTCCAAACAAATAATTTCACACACTTTTTCCATGAGATTTCCCAATGAAGACTTGGTTATGGCCTTATATGAAATTTCAGAACTAATAGCCAAGACAGGTTATCCGCATACTATTGGTGAAACGTTAATACTTCCTGCAATAAAAATAATTACATCTCGTGTTTATAAAAAAACAAGAAAATCAGTTGAATTTACTGTCCCTATCTAATAATACAGTGAAGTGTAGAATTGTGGATATGGCAAAAAATATTGAAGAAATTTATACATCAAGTTCACTATAGTCAGTTTTTACAAGTGGATGAAAGCACAGACATAGTAGATAATGACAATTTAATGTGCTTTGTAAGATATGATTAAAAGGATACAATTCGTGAAGATTTGTTGTCCTGTAAACCACTTCCAACAAGAACAATGGCTGATGAAATTTTTAATTTAATCAATTAATTTATAATTCAGAGTGGTATTCAATGGAAAAAATGTGTTGGATTGAGTACCAATGTTACTTGTTCAATGACAGGTTCCCATACAGGAGTTCTGGAAGATCCGAGCAGTGACACCACTCTGTGAATGGGTGCATTGTAGCATTCACAGAGAGGCGTTAGCTGTGAAGAAAATGTCCTTACTCATGAATTAAACTAAATTCCAGAATCTATAGTGCTTTGTGCAAAGAATTAGGAAATGAACACAAGCATCTATTACTCTGTGAAGTTCAATGGTTATCAAAAGGAAATGTCTTAAAATGACTTATCGAAATGAAGAATGAAGTTATTTTGTTTTTGGGACATCGTCCATCAGCAAAAGATGCAATTTTTGAACTTAGATACAGATTTTATAATTTGCATTGGTTAATTAAGGTGGCCTATTTATGTAACATTTTTGGCTTCTTAAATGTGTTAAATCTAAGTTTACAAGGTGCTAACATAAATATTTTTTAAAGTCCAGGAAAAGATACAAGCAGCTATAAAAAAACAATTAACTTGTAGGTACATCGAGTTGAGAAAAGAAATTATAAGTCTTTCTCTGCTTTAACAGAATTAACCAAGATGAAGAAGGTAATATTCCAGATGAGATTTCCTCATCAATCAAAGAGCATCTTTTGGGGCTAAAATCATGCATGAAGGAATATTTTCTTCCAATTGACAGCAGTAAAATGAGGATCAGGAACCTTTTTACTGTTGACATGGAAAATGAGGAAGAATTACAACTCAGTGAATCAGAAATTGATTCTATTATTGAACTGTTCTGTGACACCGTATTGAAAGACAATTTTAGTCAAGTCTCATTAATTTATTTTTGGCTGAGCTGTCGTGGTGAGTATCCAAATTTATCAGAAAAAGCAGTGAGATTTCTTATGTTCTTTGTCATGACTTATAAATGCGAATTAGGCTTCTCAATGTTGGTTTTCTTAAAAAAACAAGTACAGTAAAAGATTAGATGTCGAGCCAGATTTGAGGATCAAACTGACTTCTTTTCCTTCTGCATAATCCTTCTCATTAGGTAAGTTTATTTCTTAAAAGAGCATTAATAAATATACAGTTAATGTAAAGATTAAATAACGATGAAGTATAATTTCTTTTATTTCTTTTTACACAGTAGTACTATAAAACACCTGTATATTTTATAATCAATGATGTATTGATAAACTATTGTTTTCAGCTTGATGTTAAGACTTAGCTATGTCTTAGCCGGTTATCTAATTAGGTATTTGAGGAGGCCGGGAAAAGTTTGGGAAATGCTGCTTTAATCTATACACTTCCTTTTTTTTAATCTCTTAATTGAATATTTCAAGCAAGTTCTTGATGTTACTACAATATTAGTTAATAAAATAAACATAATTATTATGCTACTTTAAGATTTTGCTGAAGGCGGAGTAAGTGTATTCTAAAATGCGTAAAGCTTTTGTAAATAAAAATGTTTTTCATCTTATCAAATTTAAATTATTTAGTATAGGTAATAGGTTTGTAGTCAAACACCTTAGGATACTAAGTGGATACTTTCTGTTAAAACTAAAAGCAAAGAAATATTCTTATTTCTAAAAGGAACAAGTGTCTTTCAAAGCAGCTAGACATAACTAACTGGAGCCAGACTTAACAGTTAGTGGTTGAGTGCTTCGTAAGGCAGAATTTTATAGTTTTACTGTCTGTGCTGGATGAATATTTTCTTTTTCTGGTTTGAAATTTAAATTGTATTTAACCCTTTCAAGGCGGGTCATCTCGTTTGTTGACTCGCATTCAAAATGATATGGAACTACTATTTCATAAATTTATGTCAATAAGTTTGGTATCCAACTGTAGATTATAATCCAGATTTTAGTATTATACATTACTCAATGTCTTAATTTAAAAGTAAATATTAAAAAAACATAGATAAACATCATTTTTGTGTGTCATGTGGTATGTTGAATGCAGCACTGGTTCAAATTAGATGTTTGTGAAGTCAAAATAATAAGTATAGTTTCATACAAATTAGAAACTCAAATTACAGATATTGACAAGCTGGAATGTAAGATAAGAACATCGTATCTTTTTTATTTGCTAAGATATTGCTCACTTAATAAATCAAACACAGTGGCACCCCACTTACCACTTTCCATTTTTGGAAATGCTTCCTTTTATACACTTACTTCTATATATACCATGAATAACCAATCCGAAGCTCAGAATGCTCCCCTGGTGACTTTCTCGGCCATTTTAACAGGCTTGGTGCCATTTCTTTCTTTTGAACCCATATTTCAACGAGGTAGGGTGTGTCTTTAGTCTGCTCGAGATTTCATATTTTTTTTTAGACTAAAATACAACTTTTAGTTATTAAGCTTGATAAATTATAGTGGAATTCAATGGTACTGATGTGGTAATTTATGATTTTTTAGTTATTCTAATGTATATATACATACATAAAACCTAAAAACACATTATTTTGTTTCATGTCCTCCGTGTGCACAATTTTTAAAGGCTTAGCAACCTAATAACAGATAAAATAAGTTTTTTCTTAAGAAATGTTTGTTAACTATCTGGACATTATAAAGATTTCGCATGTGAAATTTCAAAATTTTCTGATGCATAAAAGTATTTTCAATCTTAAAATGAAAATTACTTTGCATGTTAGATAGGCAACATGTGAAAAGGAAAAAACAGGCAGGCAAAAAACATTGCTTTACAAACATTAAGACTTAATAAAAAATTGATATTTTGCATATTGAAGCATTGTAATGTTCATGATGTTAGAAAAATATTAGGTTCAAGAAATCTTAATAGAAATGAATAAAAACCCTATAACCCAAGTCCTTTCAAAAGGTGGACCTTTCTTCTTCAGGGGCAAACTGGGAATGAAGCATTGTAATGTTTACTGATAATCTGCTAAATTTCATTAACAATCGCTTACTACTTTAAAAGTTATAGCATGAAAACTATAACAAGCACAAAATGGTTGCAAGATCGGTCCCAGGGACAGAGCCCATGCTGAGTTAATGAAATTTGTTTTAATCTTTTTCAAGGAAAGGATTAAATAGCTAGTACTGGTAGTAGTGAAATAGTATAAAAGTAACAGTAGTTTAAGTTATTGATATTGATAAAATTTCCCAGGTCTTGAAAATTCCACTCGTCTACTCTTATATACAGTTAGTAGAAGAATAAGGGCAAGATGACTTTTTTTATGCACTTGACCCACAGTACAGGTGCATTAATTCAGCTGGTTAAAACAACTTGCTTCTAGAGTAAATGAAGTACTAAAAGTAAATGGGCAGACTTCAGTAACTATGTGCTCTTCTTTTTAGTTATCATTAAACTGTCACTGTTCTCACGATGTCAGTATACACATTGTCATTGTCCCTAATTCTGTTATCTACATAATGAATGGTGTTGTAGTTGGTGCCATGATGGTGAAAAAGTTTAATTGTATATAAGAAATAGCTGACATTTTGTAAAACTAGTGCTTGTTTTATCCATAATTACAAAGTATCTATACAAGAGTGTTTTCTTTAACATTACATCCTAGCTTTGACTGCCAAGGGCATATGAACTTGTATCCAATCAGCTCTACTCCTTTAGATATGCTATGCTGTGTTGTTTTCTTTGGCTTATTTTGACCTCTTATGGACTTGTTTATGTAATCTTATCTGGAATGAGAGGTCAAAATATGGATAACTTACCGATGTTCTGTGCATCCTGTTATCAAACAGTCAATGATTGGTATGTAAGTCAAAGGTCTTTTATTTATATAGAAATTGCTAGAATTGATCTAGCAAATGATTCTTAGTTGAAATGACTAACAGATTTGAAAATTGCTGCTGAAAATAAGATGAGTGTCTCATGTTTCATGCATTTATTATAACCTTGGATGAGCAAAATTTGTGGAGAATGAGTAAAAATTTTATGTCACTTGTCTTGTATGATGAGTAGCCATTTTAGAAAATTTTGAACCATGGTAGTTAAAATGTACTGTAGACTATGGTATGCCCCATAATTTAAGTAAAATTTCTATGATGCAATCATGTTATCAAGTTACTAATATTACCTTCTGATCAAAGCAAGCTATATATGGTTTATTACCATTTTGTCTAATGTAATTGTATACCAAAATAAATGTTTTATATTTTTTCTGTAAACTTGGTATGTCACTTTATTGTAAATGAAAAACTAAAGCAGTATTATAATTTCTTGAGAACAAAAGAGTTTTTTATGTGATATCTTTATAGTGTTTTTGTGCATGTGCATAAAAATATCAATGTGTGAATGTTTTAAAAGTATTGCATTGTATTGGAAACAGTATAATACAAAAATGCTTTTTTTTTTACAGTTGTGCCAAAGTGAGTTTTGTATTTAAACTTTATTCTATATTTGACAACCTTATGATTGTATTTTTTAGGCTTACTCCCATTTAGTCTATTGCCAATGATACATACATAGATCAGAAGTAAAAATACATACCTAGTAACAAGCTTAGTTAATTAAATATGTGTTCCAATTATATTACTTGTAATAATTACAGTGCATTGTTCTTCAGTTTGGCACACATGCTGTTAGATGTCTGTGGCCATAAATTTAATAATGAATATTACAAGGCTTAGCTGGTCCAGGAGGCCTGGGTTTGTTCTAAATCTGTATACGGAGCTAACAATGCAGAATATTAATTACAATAAAATGGTAAATTGTAAATTACCAAATTTGCAAACAGAGCTAACATTGTAAGAATCTTTATGATAAAAACAATCAAAATTAAAATTAGTACTGTGCAGAATAAACATTGTAAATAATTAATATTGTAAAGAAAATTAGAAGTAATAAGAAAAAAAGCTTGGAGAGCATAGTAGAAATAGGTTAGTTCTAAATCCATAAACCAAGCTAGCAATGTCATATTCTTCATAATAGTTACAATAAAAGAAAAATTAAAATCAAGTATAATAAATGTAATAACCTATGCTGTTTATGAAAGTAACCCTAACTAAAGGGTATGATATAACGTACTATTTGTTGCTGGAAAATATATAATATTCACTGCCTCTAAAATTGAGAGAGTTACATACTATCAGTGCAGTGTTTTCATTCCCAGAGCACTCCCAGAAACTCATGTCACTGTTGGGCATTCCATATAACATGACTGAAGGAGGTTACATCCTCCATGTATCACCTGATCTGCTAGTTGTAGGCATTTTATTGCCAATTTCTTCAATGTAAACTGTGGAATGATCCTGAACAACAGGCTAATAGAATGAAAGGAATCCTAGAAAACTTATATGAACAAATAACCCCCTGTTGTTAAAACTACACATGTCTGGAACCCTGTATACTCTAAAATTTGTCCAAAATTCCTTCGAAGAGTTCCCTACGCTAGGTAACAGTAGGTAAGAAATATGCATATGTCTGCATACTTTGTGATAAGATTCAAGAAAATAATAAGATAAGACTTAAAAAAGGAACTAACAGAATGTTTAATACAAAAAAGTAATTAGGAGAAACAAATACAACTTATCTAATGATGTAATGTTATACTATACACTACAGTAAGAAATTAAAGGTATTGGAAGATAAAACTCATGGTGGTCATAATATTATAGTAATTATTTATTACCTTAAATAATTAGTTAAAAAATTAACTTGTATGGTAGTTTTCAAGAGGTTGTGATATTTGGTAAAACTATGAATTCCATAATAATAATAATATTTTAGAGAGGAATATGATGTAAAACTGGTGGAAAAAGCACAGGAAAAAGTTTGAAAATGGTTGATAATCTTGATATAATAACTGATGATGAAATCAAGGTATTTAAGGGTGTGATAAATATAAAAACATTTAATGTTACTAAACACAATCA